CCTCAGCCCCAGCAGACACAGATGTGCACACTATGGATCGACAGCATTGCAAGGGACAAACCAGAACATGGATCCATTGCAGTGAGGCAAACTCACTCGGGCAACTCCGGAGCTCCTGCTGGAGCCTAGGAGTGCATTTTGGAGAATATATTACAATAGGTTTTGGGTTTACGGCATTTTTTAGCCATTAACTTTTACCTACTGCTGGTTAAAAAACTTGCCCTGACCTGAAGGCACCTCGGGGGACAAGTCAGCATCAACCTCACCCGGTATCTAACCTTCACCCTGTTCCAAGCCCAAGGTTACCATAATTCAGCTCTACTCACCTGTCTCTCATCCCTGCAACGAGGACTTTGCTGGTGAAAACCGCAGCAGCTTTAAGGAGGTGGATTTTCGTGTCCAGAGAAGTGCAGATCTTCCCCGTTGTACGGGATTAACGGTGAGCTAGACACAGGAGAGCAAAAGGGACTGTCACATATGCAGGCTTGTGCTGAAGCCTACTCTCTGGCTGCTACAGACACAGGTGACAGAACAGGGAACAAGACAAAGAAGGGTAAGTTCTGTCAGTAAGTTTACAGAACTAATAAAAGGGAAATTTCAGTACTTCAGCATTTGAACCCAGAATTTCCGGCCTATAAATTTACCTTTAGAGGTGGCAATAATCCCCCTGTGCCCTCTACATTTCTTCACCTGCTTCTACAGCCCCTCCACTGCTCGGGCTGGCAGGCAAAGTGAGGAGAGCACTGCTCTGCCATGTCCTCGCCTTTCTTGCCAACCCAGACATCCTGGGCAGAGCAGCTCCTGCCAACGCTGCCACAAAAGACATTTCTCAAAAGCAGTGACGCTCTCTAATCAGCACAAACAAGATCCTGCTCCATCCCTGCCCTGTTATCAGCACCAAGGCCGTTTGTGACTATGAACTGCAACAAAAGGCTCAACACAATGTGCCTGGAATTGTGCTTGCACATAAGAAGAAATTTTTCCTTCCTTTTTCCCAGAGCTTATCAACAAAACTTAAATTATCTCCCAAAAATGTTTACTTCTGGGTGCTTTTCCAATAGAAGTGCCTGAATGAACTATTCAGCAGGGAAGAGTCATGCTGTCTTGCCTTGCTCTGCTGTTACACATGCTTGGATATACGTGGAGGGACCAACTATTCCCGAGTTCTAGTTGAAGAAGGAACCAATGGAAGCAACGCCTGATACACTTCTGATGTAGCTTGGAAAACTGCAGGCAGCCGCGTTTTGACTCTATTTTGTACACGTTTCTGATGCTGAAACAAGCACATGCCCGTTGCTTAGCACTGGCTCTGTGGGACACAGGGGAAGCTCCCAGGAGCCACCCTGATAGCCCCACGCACACCCAACACAATACACCCAGAAGGGCAGAGCTAGTCACCAAGGACAGCAGCATGTTCTCCACTTGTGAGACGTGCCCACCCAAACCCAGGGTCCTTACAGGAGGACATGCTCTGCTCAGAGAGGCACCCTGGCCCCACACAGCACAAGACAATCGCACGGAAAGGTCTGCTGCAGCCAGAGACACCATTCGGCCTCCCACTCCACAGCCCTGGGCCAGGGTGAGCCTGTTCCTGCACCCACAGGGCCTGTGGGGCCATCTCTGGCACCTCTGCCATGGAAAGCACTAACCATTCCCTTCCACACACCTATGAAATAATCTGGAAGCATTCTTGGAGCCCTTTAAT